CGACTAGTTATCATTTTTCTTCAACGTCATCATCGAAGGCTACTTTTACGAGGTCCTCTTGCTTGCTTTTGATGATAGGCTCTCCTCCCGTCTGTAAGGTTGGCCAATACCAAACTTTAGTTGCAGCCGAGAATAAAATTCTGCAGGATTACGGAGGTTGTGACAGAAGGATGTTGAAGAATTTCCTTTTCATCATGAAGAGAGACCTCACAAACTCATGATCCCTAGACATGTCTCCCATGATCAACAAGAGATTTGATCGATCATACCTGTGGTCGATTATCCACTTCCAAATACCGAGTGTAATTTTTTTCGCTCTAGACTCCTCCTCCACGTGGATGTAGGGGACTCCAGCGGAGTCAAACTCTTTCTGCTTGTCGGAAGTTTGGCCATAAGCAATGATCGAAACCGTACCAACAAAACCAACATCTTTCAGGGCTTTCTTGATACTACCAGAGACATCACCAACCGTTTTCCCATCAGAGATCGGGCACTCAACTACGTCCCAGAAGACTGCTACGTCTCTAGCTACGTGAAAACACAAAAGACAAAAGGGTAAAACAGCTACTACCAAATTGTGATAAACAGATAAGATTTATCGATTTATCCATACTTGTTACGGCAGATCAATTTGATAGATTAATTTTCGATGACAAACAAAATTCGATTCAGAAAGTAAACTAATCCGGATCTACACCATTAGAACAACANATCTACGAAATTGCATTAACAATATCAACGAAAAATCACTTACCAAAATATTGACTCCAGTAATAAGCCATGATTTTGACGGGAGAAAACTAGAAAAATTGTGGTCTTGACGGGAGAAAATAAGTGAGATTAAGGATAAGATTTGTGNAGAATTGTTATATATCAGCCNTTGGATCTTCAACTTGGCGACTAAGCCAATNGTTATAGCTNAGCTGTTGGATNTAAACTTGTAGACTAAGTTTTTGGTTGTCAGCNNTTGATTCTCTTAGATCTGCGGGATTAAATCTCAACTGTTAGACCTTAAACTTGTAGACTAAGTTTAGGTTGGCAGCCNTTGGTTCTCCTANGTCGGCGGCTTAAGTAAAGGAAGNNTCCGTTGGATCTAGGNGGTTATTGGCAAAATAAATTTAAAAGTTGTGAGAACATTAAAAAATATTAAAAGTTTCTAATATTATATTTTAAACAATCACATTTTAATAAATTTAAAGTCATTAAAGTTTTTAAAACTCTATTAATTTTTCTCACAACCAATTTCTCTATTTTTTTTGAATAAAACATACATATTTTTTTTAAAGTCAAAAATTATATCTTAATTGTTAGAGCTGAATTTCTAGCAAAACGTGTAGTGGTTTTTACTGATAAAGAGCCACATAACGGAATTTTTATTAATTTAAAAGATAATCAAAATTCAGATCAAAAGGATGAAATGACTTTGATCCGTTATTCACACTACTCTCAGTTTTGTCGAGATCTAGTTACATGATCCATGCGTTCCCAAAGGCGTAAAATTGTTATTTGGAAAGTTTTTCAATACATTCATCCTTTTTTTAACAAAATAGATAAGAAAAAAATTTCATTTGATTTTTGGGGGCTAAAAAAATTATTAGAAGTTTCATGTGGAAAAAAAAAAACAAAAAGTATTTTTTTTTTAAATCTAGCCCATAAAAGTCCAAGAATAAATAGATATCTGTTTATTAGAAGATAGGTCTTTGGGCCTAAGTAAGGTCCAAATACATTGGAATGAAACTGTTAAGTTGAAAATAAATCAAAGAAGATTTTTGACTAAATTAACTCTACAAGAATAAGGCAAAGAAGATATTTGATTAAGTAATCTCCCCAAAAACTAGTCAAAATATATCTTTGACTGATTCAGCTCCACCAGATTTTCAGGTAACCACTTACAAACGTGTCCAAGATTCCCGAAACTGCCCCGAAATACGCGAAACTCAGCGAAAAGTACGAGCTGTTGTATTAAGCATCACGTGATGCTTAGGAAGAAGAGGCCAAATTGTCGCTTTCACAATTGTGTTAGGACCATAAGGAGTCGCTATCAGCACACAAGAAGGACCACAAGTGAACTGTTAGGGATTTTGAATGGTGGAGCGTGTTCTCTCATCAATGGCCATGATTTGTTCNTATNANTGAAGGNTTANGATGTTATGACCNTTATNNAGCTNATNTAANTGTCTATAAATATCAGCTTGTAGTTCTTGTATGTTCTTAGCTTGAATGAATGGAAATATGTCACT